AGCCAAGCCCTGGCTGGTCCCTTGAAGTAGAAATTCACAACAAACGCCCCTCCAGCCTCTTCCTGAGCCTTGGTCTTTTATAAGGAGCTGGTGCCCCCACCGCTCCGGTCGCCTTCCCTCCAAGCATGTCTGAGTCTGGTTGGCCCAGCAAGCTTCGGAGATCTGACTGATGGAAGCATTTCGGAGCGATGGGATAAGATGCCAGGCGCCATCAGCCGGCACTGAGCTGCATTAATGGGACATTCGAGCACTCGGTCCCCGGGAGCCTTCCTGAGCAGCTGCTAGAACTGTGCCTTTAAAAAGGCTTTAATTTACAAGCAGTGCTGACTTGGGTTAAATATTTTCATAGGGATCCCCAGCTACATGTTTACATTTCTTTTTTTCTTTCTTTTTCTTCTCTTTTTTTTACAATTTAGCACATTAAGAACAGTAACAGAGTAACTGAGAAGCAGAGAGATGGATACAAGTGCTATATTAACTCCCTCCCCCATGTGTTTGTTACTGTGAATTAAAATGTCGTCTCCGATGCTCTCAGAAGGCTGTTACTAGTCTGACCGAGCCCTGCTTGGATATGAAGCTTTTACAGCTGAGTGGGAGATGGCTCTGCCCTACAATAGATCGCTCTCCCCTGGGACCCCGATTCCTCACCCCACCACTCTCCTTGGAGATGAAAGTAAGACTCTGATAATGAACGCTGGGTTTGCCTAATTACCGGAGCCAGGTGGCCATTTCTGCTGGGAAATGTGAGTGGTGGCGTTCTGTCTCTGCAGAAAGGCTTGCTTCCTGTCAACTGTCTTGCCAGACAGCCAAGCGTCAATAAGATTGGCTCGTTTGCTTAATTAATAACAGGAGTCACCACGGCGTGCAACGCTGCACCCATCCCCTGTTCCTTGCAGGGCGGCTTGCATCAAGAGAGCTTCCAGGAGAGCTAAAACGAGGGCCTTCGCATTAAATATTTCATCTGGGCCTTTGTGAGGCACACGCAGGCTGTCCTGATGACTGACTGGGAGCGCGTGTGTGGCTGTCGGCTTGACTTGGCATTCATGGGCTCCATTAATAGGTTCATAAAAGTTACAGCGGGGAGGCCGTCTTGTGAAACTGTCCTGGCGGTCAGTTTAACGGCCAGGAAGGCGATGGACACCAGCCGAGAGCACCTTGGGTGGCCTCTGCCGTTGCTCCTGGGTCTCGGCCCGGGGGAGTCACAGCACAGTGGGAAGGAGGCAGGCTCTCCACGCGGAGCCCCCTGGGGCCACAGCCTGCCCCACCACAGCCTCGGTCCTGTGTCCCTAAGGTGGAGATGACGTTGCCTCCTTCTGGCAGAGCCAGGTGTGGCCCTTCTCAGGTCCTGGAATTTCTGCTGTGTCTTCCTCAGATGTGGCCTGTGGGGACCAAGCCTCCAGTGACCTTTAAAATCCTCTGTCATTCAGTCATGATTCCAAGTGCCTTCCTAGGCAAACGCCTGCTCCCCCGGGATGAATGACCCTTCCCTGGAACCCACTTTGTGCCCCCTCCGATTCGCGGTGCCCTAAGCAGCCTGGGGAGCCAAAGAACAGGGACCTGCATTCCAGCCCCGGCCTGGGATTGGCACTGGGAGGGCCCAACGGACCGGAATAGATGAGCACCCACCCCACACCTAGCCTGGCACCCGGCGCCGAGGGCATGCCCAGGTTTCAGTTTCTCTGGGGAACCATCCTCCAGGCCCCTGTGCGGGGATCGATCCTGGCCAGCTCCATGCTTGCTTGGGGCGGAGGAGGTGTGTTGGGAGAAAGCTCTTTCCCTGAACTTACCCGATTCTGTTGCTTCACCCAACTTCCTCTGGGCCTGTTGTTCCCCCGAACAGAAAATTTTTGCCCTCTTCTTTGGTGGTGGAAGGAGGGGCAGTCATCTGCTGTGCTAGGTGGAAGGACGGGGCTCTGTATGGGTCGGGGTTGGCTGACTGCTGTAACAGACAACCCCAATCTCAGTGCCTGGCACGATAAAGATGTATCCCCTGATCGGGTTACAGTGGGATGTGACTTTGGGTAGGGAGGACTCTACTCCATGCCGGCACTCAAGGACTTAAGCATCCTCCTTTTAGCAGGTCTCTCATTGCGCAGCCTTTCCCCACTGGGGTTCCGGGGAAGAGTTAAGTCCCGACACCCTGAGGCATCATGGCATGCAGTGAGTGACTTTGCTTCTGGGCATCTAGAATGATACCAGCTGCGCAGCGTCCCCAGGCGTGCTGAGGAAACGGTCACGCCAGTCGTGTGCTGGGCTGGGGTTCAGATGAGGAAGCCTAGACTGCACCCCCTGGGGCCCCCGAGTCCTCCCCTGGACTCTGCGTCCAGCTGGCCCGCAGGAAAGAGTGTGGAGGTGGAGCTGCCCTGGGGCTTGTTGAGGACCAGACCGAAAGTGTTGGACATCACTCATCCACATCCCACTCGCGAGAAGGCAGTCACGTGGGCCCACCTGGCTGCAAGGGAGGCTGGGAAATGTAGTCTGGCTGCATGCCCAGGCGGAAAAGGCAACAGGGTAACACATAGTCCTAGAATGAGGGGCTTCGGCTGTGGGGTGGGAGTGCCTGGCTCTGAACAGAGCTGTGTGTCTCCCTGCGGTGTATTTCGTTTTCCTCAGGCTGCCTTAACAAAGACCTACAAACTACGTGGCTGAAAACAAGTTTGAGATCAAGGTGTCGGCAGGGTTGGCTCTTTCGCAGGGCTGGGAGGGAAGTTCGCCTCTCATAGCCCCAGGTGTTCCGTGGCTCGTAGGTGGCTGTGTCTTCTCTCTCTCCTCACCGTCTTCCCTCTGTGTGTCTGCACCTGTGCCCCAAGTCCCCCTTTTCATAAGGACACGGTCGCATTGGATTAGGGCCACCCTAATGACCTCCTCTTAGCTGGATCGTCTGCAAAGACCCGATTTCCAGATAAGGTCACACTCCCAGATCCTGGGATTCAGGACGTCAACGTCTTTTGGGGGCACACGATTCAACCCACACTTCTGGGCCTGAGGACAGAGAACTGTCCCAGTGAGGTGCGCCCTGGGCACTGTGCAGTCCTGGGGGACACAGCCCTGCCTGCCTGAAGGCAGCTCTCTGGACACAGAGCTGTCATCGTCCCCCAAGGCCACACTGGAAGGACCTGGAGCTCCTCTGGGGGAGGCCCGAGAGCAGTGCCAGGACTAGCAGAGTCGAGAGGGGACCTGTGCACACCTGGTCCAGGGCTCTTCCGATAGGATAAAAGTCCTGGCAGCGCCTTGCTTGTTTTTCCTCTTCTGTCAGACATTTCGGTGGTAGCAATATTTTGAGTTTTTTGTATTTCCCTTTGTTTTTACATAGAAATCTCTGTGGGCATTTTCTCTTATTAATTAACTGAGTTT